GGAACGGCCCCGGCCCCGGCCCCGGCCCCGGCCCCGGCCTCAGCTCCAGCTCCGTCTCCGGCCTCGGCCTCGGCCTCACCGCGTCGCGCCCTGCCCAGCCCTGCGCAGCACCAACACCGCCCCCAGCCCTCGGCGGCCGCCCCTTAAAGGCACCGCCGGGCCCACCCGCTCCGCCCGCACCGCGGCGGCACAGCCGGACCGGCCCCAGGGGATCCCCGCTGCATGGGCGGGCCCGGCTCCCACCGGCATCTGGGGCCCCCGTGCGGCCGGTCCGGAGGGGGGGCTGCTGCACTAGATGCCGGGAAACCCTCGGTGCCCCCGAGCCGCACCCACTCCCTGCAGCCAGACACAGGTTACCCCCGCGCCTCTGCCCCTCGTGTTCCCCAGGACAGGACGGACTGGCCCGTGGCTGCGGGGTCTGCGTCCAGGGTGCCACTGCTGCCCCTGCTCCTGCCTGACCCCTCCCACGGGCATATGCTGGAGCATCCACAGGTGTTTTTGGAGAGACCAACCTGCTGCCACAGCTGTCCACTGTCAGCTCTAACCCCGGGGCTGGAAAGGATGCTCTCAGCAGCAATAAACACTGAGCCAGGCTAGCTCTCCTCCTTCCTCCCATCCACCCTTACTTGCATCTATCCTTCCATCCACCCTTTTTTCCTTCCATTAATCCATGCTTCCTCCCATCTATGCTTCTTCCCATCCATCTGTCCTCCCATCCACCCTTACTTCTATCCTTTCTTCCTTCCTTCTTTTTCTCCCTCCTATCTTCTCTCCCTTCCATCCGTCCTTGCTTCCATCCATCCCTCCATCCTTCTTTTCCTCTCTCTTCCCATCACTCTGGTTCTCTCCATTTCCCACCTGTCCCTCCCTCTTCCTGCTCTCTGCAGCCTCCTCTCCCTCTCCTGTCTCCTTCCCTCTAACTCTCCGTGACCATCTCTTTTTCCAGCCAAGTTCAGCTGGGAGTGATGAATCCCCCTCTGGCTGCTGCAGACCCAGTGGTGCTGCAAAGGGTGCCCTGTACTCAGGGAAGGCCCTTCGGCAGCTGAACGGCTCTAACAAAAGCTCCCCTTGTCCAACACAAAGTGCCATTATTCCCCAAACTTCTGGGTGAAACACTGTGCTGAGGCGCGGGAGGATAAGGGATGCAGTGGTGAAGAGGCATCGTGCACCCAGCTCTGTGCCCTGGGGAGAGTGGCTAGTTTGGGAGGATTGCTGGGTGTGCAGGCAGGGGTATGGGCAGAGCTGCCCAGAATCGAGAGGAGCTGGGCTTTTGCTGGGTCCCTGGGAAAGGAGGGAAGCTGTCACTCTTGGCTCTCTGCACGGGATTGCATGTGGGTTATCCCCAGCCCACACAAGAAGCACCTCAAAACCCCTGTCCTGCAGCAGAGTGGTTCCCCAGCTTAGAAGAGTGCAGGGGGGGCTCCACAGGTGGATCAAAGTCCTGACCTGAGTCTCCTGCTCCCTCCCTTCCTGCTGCCCCTGTGTGAGTCTTGGGGAGCTTCTCTTTTCTGCTTGGCATGACGACGGAACCCTCTGCAGGGCCAGCAAGGGACAGACACAGCAGCGTACCATGGGACAGCACAGCCCCGGGAAAAGCATCCTTCATGGACCCAGGGCCTGAAGCCTTGGGGACGTGGAGCCCTGAGTACCTCTCAGGGGACTTCCTTTTGGGGTGGCCAAGCTCCTCTCTCTGTGTGGGGTCATCTGCAGGTGGCCGTACCCACCCACCCACAGTTCTCTGCTCTGTGCTGGTGCTGTCTTGTGTTCCCCAGTGGTCCCATGGCCTGGTTCCTGGCCCTGATCTCTGCCCAGCCCACCCAGGCAGCACTGGTCCTGGCTCCCAGCCTGGCTCAGAGCCACATTCCTTGGGCAACAGGGTGAGGGTGTCTGGACCTACTGGCTGCAAGTCCTTCTGGGGCATTGTCTCTGCTGCCAGGGTGTCCTGGGGCAGCACTTGCAGGTGACAGCTACAAGTGCCATGAAAAAGCTCCCTCCTGCTCCAAAAGACATCCTCAATCCCTCAGGGAAATTCTATTGCCAGTGCTGTCTGTGGAGGGGAACGGCCCCAGCCAGTGTGGCCCTGGGCCCTCAAGATATGGGACAGCAGCAGGATGATGCTGAATGCTCCGGCCAGGCAGAGACTGCTGCCCACAGCTGACAGGGCTGGCTCAGGCCAGGCTGGGAATGGTGCCCACAGATTGTGGTATCTGGGCTCTCGATCATGCAGTGGAAGAAATGCAGAAAGAGAGTGAGAAAAGATGACAGGAAGCTGGGGACATGGTTACGGAGGAAGGAACACCCTGCCTTGGGGCTACAGTTGGCCTCTGAGGGCTCCCGGGGTGACACTGAAACCACAGAGCCCTGCTACACCCTGGCACAGTGACATGGCACCATGCCCAACAGGGATCCCAGGGACCTGACAGCCGGCAGGTCTAATGGTGCAGACCCCAGGGGCATTAGAGCAGCCCAAGGACCCCCAGGGAGGTCTTGTTTGGGGTCTCATTCCCAGCTCTGCGTGTGCCAGGGCATAGGGCATACCCCTGCCAGCTTCAAGAACAGTGCTGCACACCTTGGTAGTCCCCTCCATGCCTCTGCCTCAGTTTTGCCATCTCATTTTGCCTGCCAGGGCTTTTATGGAGACTTGGGTCCTGGACAGCAATGCCAGGAGAGAACACAACTGAGCCAGACTGGGAGAAGGGCAGGATCGGGGCCGGGACCCAGGAGACAGCTCGTGCATGCACCACTGAGGCTCACACGTGCCCGCTTCCCCTTTTGGCAGGAAACATCCCAGGCAGGGCAATGCCCAGGGCTCAGCAGCGCTGTGGGGGGTGCTGGGGCTGCATTCGTTTACAGTTTCAGGATGAGTCAGTGGGAGTTGGAGTCGGGCTGGTATCCTGTTTGCAACCAGGCTGCAGGTGGCAGATGGGTGGCACCTTGTCGAGGCTGAGGGTGCCTAGCCAGCCATGGGGCACCCACACATCTATGGGGCACATGCTCAGCCATGTAGCACCCACTCAGCCACAGGACATGGACAGTCACTGGGCGCCCATTCAGCCCTAGGGCACCCAGCTTGCTCTGGGGCATGCACCCATCATGGGGTGCCCACTCAGCCAGAGGGAACTGACCCAGTCATGGGGTACCCACCCAGGGTACAAGGTACCCACCTGGCCATAGGGCACCCACCCAGCTGTGGGCGTATACCAGCCCTCGGGGTGGTTCAGGGGAAGTGCTGGGAGCAGGTTGTGCCAGCTGCCACATGGGGCAGGAAGGACCCGCCATGGGGTTGGGACAAGGCAAAAACCACAGAAAAGAGGAAGCCTTTGAGTGCCCCAGCCCAGTGCGGCAGCGCCCAGGCAGACGCACCTGGCATCTTGCACACCTCCATCCCGGTAAGTCTGAGTTCAGCATCGCCGACCACCAAGGGGAGAGGGGCTGAGAAATGGGGCAGCCCCTGGCACTGCTGGAGTAGGAGGTTCCCTTTCAGATCATCCCCAAAACGGGGGCAGCATCCCCGCTGCTGGGGAGAGGGACGCACAGCATTGATGTGCAGTGCAGGGAACCAGGAAAGCTTTCCCAGCCCTCTCTGCTTCCCATGCCAGGTTTGTCTGGAGCCTAAACTTAGCTTGGTATATTTTAGCAGGACAGATGGAGCGGGCCAAGGCAAGGAAGGGATTTTTTGCAGCCAAGCTGCAGTGCTGGGGTGGGTGGAAAAGTAGGGCACTGCTTTCCAGGAGACTCCAATACTGGAGGAATGGGCCCAGCCCCAGCTGGCACCAGGATGCAGGCAGCCCGTGTGTTTCCAGAGGTTTCCACAAAAGAGAAACCACCTTTGCTACTGAATGCCATGGGTGGCCTGCAGGCACTGAGCCCTGCCCTGGGACTGGCACTCCAGACTGGGCTCAAGCTGGTGGCTAGTCTCCAGCTCAGCCAAGCATCCCCCTTGCCACCTTCATCACTGCTCTGCTCCCAGCAGTGTTGCTGGTTAAACCACAGTGGAGGCCCACGGCAGACAGATGGGCACCGTAGGAGGGTGAGTATCCCACAGCTGGAGGGCCCATGTGCCTGCGGGCTGAGCCCCATCAGTGGCAGACCCAAGTGCTGCACTGCCTTCCCTGCCTTCCCTGCCCTCCCTTCCCACGCTGCCCTTTCTGCCCTTTTTGTTCTCACTGCCCTCCCTGCCCTTCGTGCCTGCACAGCAAAGTACTGGCCATCTGTGACATTCTGAATATGAGTGTTTGGGGCACTGAGGCTACAACCTCCCAGCTTGCTGGGGCTCCTCATGTCCTTGGGGGCTGGGGATAGCACCCTGATCTGGGGAGAGCACCTCGAGCTTGGGGATTGCCTTGTCATTGTTGCAGGAGAATGCTGGGGCACTTCTTGGGCAGGACACTCCAGTCCTGAAACTCCCTGAATGGAGTTTCAGACTTCACAGTCAGCCCCAGAGACACTCCATTTTGCAGCTGGGGCCTCACCGTGGGGTTATTTAGGTGGGACTGGGATCTTCTTCCTCATCCTCTGGTGCACAGCTGCGGCAAGGCTGGCTGCATATCAGGTTTGACATATTCTGGACAAAGTAAGGAGTGGGACCATGGCTACATGTCAGGTGGGGAAACTGAGGCACAGAGCAAGCACCAAGGACCTCTTGTGAAGGGCAGTGGGGCAGGGGGCACAAGTGGATGCTTCCCATCAGCTCTGCACCTTCTGGCAGTATCTGTGCTCGCCCAAAGATGGAGACACCAGGGATCATGGGAGGGAGAACAAAGACCACCCTGGGGTGACACCAGGTGCACAGGGAACCCTGTGGTACAGGGGAGCAGACAGTTCAGGGGTGATATTGAGGACCAGGTTTCATGGAGAAGGCCTGTCTCTGGCCCCTCAGATCCCAGCACCTCCCAGTCACCCCTTGCTCCCGGCAAGCTGAAACGATGGCCATTGGTGGTCTCTCCTCTGTCCCAGGCGTCAGCTTTGTCACCTGAGGAGGTGACAGCCATCCTGCCAGCATGCCCCGGGCATCACCACTGCCATGGTCGCCATGGGGCCGGCCTGGTGTGAAGACCTTGGTCACTGCTGGGGTGTTTGTAACCATGCTCTGGAACCTGAGGTGCTTCCTCAGCCCCTCCAATGGCTCCAGAGAAGACTCCAAACACACAGAGCCACTGCTGGTGCTGGTGTGGGAATGGCCCTCGAAGCAGGTCCCCAATGTCAGTGGGGACGTGTGCCACGAGCTGTACGGCGTCACAGGCTGCTGGCTCACCACAGAGCGGCAGCTCCTGCACCAGGCCGATGTGGTGGTGTTCCCCCATGCCAGGCTTCAGCCTGGCCAGGACAGGCTGCCCAAGGAGAGACCACCAGGACAGAACTGGGTATGGGTCTCCCTGGAGTCCCCCTCCAACAGTAGAGCTCTAGCAGGATGGAACCAGACCTTCAACTGGGTGATGACCTACAGGCAGGACTCAGACATCTTTATCCCCTATGGCAAGCTTGTGCCCAACCGCTCGGCCACTATGAACATCCCTGCAAAGACCAACTTGGTATCCTGGGTTATCAGCAACTACCACAGGACTCAGAAAAGAGCTGAAGTCTACAAAAACCTCTCCAGGTACCTCCATGTGAATGTATACGGGAAAGCAAACAACAAACCCCTCTGCAAGGACTGCCTCTTGCCAACGACATCCAAGTCCAGGTTCTACCTGGCCTTCGAGAACTCCATCCACCGGGACTACATCACAGAGAAGCTCTGGAGGAACTCGCTGCTGGCCGGCACTGTGCCCGTGGTGCTGGGGCCACCCCGGGCCAACTATGAGCAGTTCATTCCTGCCGATTCCTTCATCCACGTTGATGACTTCAACTCCCTGGAGGAGCTGGCCATCTTCCTGAAGACCATGAACTCCAGCCGCTACCAGCAGTTCTTTGCCTGGCAGAGGAGGTTCAGTGTGAAGCTCTACACTGACTGGAGGGAGCGGATCTGCACCATCTGCACCGCTTACCCCCACCTGCCCCGCGGCCACCTCTATCCCGACCTGCAGAGCTGGTTCAACTCCTAGTGTGTGCCAGGACCATTGGGAGGTATCCAGGCAGAGGATACAGGGGTGGGAGGTGTGTGGGGCACCCACCTGCAGACCAGGATGTGGGGTATGGAGAGAAGGGAGGACCACTCTTGTCCCAACCCAGCTGTTGCCACACTGGGACCTTGAGCAACTCCCCATGACTTAATTTTTCTGACCCAATGTTGACCATCTTGCCAGAGTGCTGGCAGGACCAGAGGGTGCTTTGGAAATAAATGGTACATTGCTGCCGAGGCTGTGCCTGTGGTATAAGGTGTGGGCAGGGCAGGGGGCTGGTGGGTGGCTGAGGGCTCCCCAACCTTCCCCTGTGATCCTCAGTGTCCCCCCAGCACCATTTGCTGGGTGCCAAAGCCCTGGTGGCAGAGGCCGCATGGTGACATTTGCGGCTGGGGTGGAGGAGCCATGCTCAAGCAGTACAGGGGGGCCCAGCACCCCATGGCCAGGAGGGAACACAGCCTCTGCTCCCCCATTTCCCGGCAGCACCCATCTCCCCCACCCCCCTTGAATCGTGGGTGCCACTATGCCAGCGAGGAGTCACAGGACAGCAGATCCTCTCAGGGCAATTTCAAAGTCGGCCAGGCACAGGGATGCTGTGGTTTGTCACTCCCTCCCTGCTGTGGCAGGAAGGAAGCAAGCCGGTGGCCTCCGGGAGCAAAGCTAGTCCCATGGGCACCCTGCACACACAGACATAGCGCTGTGGGGACCCTGCACCATGTCCACCCTGCACCATGCACACATCCTGCTCAGACAGCACCCTACATTATGGGCACCCAGTACCATGTATACCCCCTGCAGCATGGGCACCATCCAGGATCAGTGGTGATTTTGGGTTTGAGTGACAGGACCAGGGAGTGAGACACACTGCTCTACCCATGCCTTGCCCCATGCCCTTCTGCTCGGTATCATCAACCCCAGTGATATCAACAACTTTTAGTCACAAGTTTCCCCAAGTTTTCCTCCCTGCAGCTCTGAAGTCACCCAACTCCACCCCTGCCACCCTGTGACCCACCAGGTGCCCAGCAGGACTCAGGTCCCCCTTGGTAGAGGGGGAAACCCTGCCCTAGTGCCAGCCCTGGTGGGGTGGCAGTTGAACAGGCACACCACGCTCTTCTGACTTCTGTGGCTTCCGATTTCCGCTTTGTTTTCTGGGTCAACCAGAAGTGGAGCAGGAGGGGCTGTGGGTGCCCACAGACAGGTGCTGGGTGCCCATGTGCAGGGTGCCCATGGGCAGGGTGCCGGGGCTGTGGGATATGGGGGTCGGGACTCCTGCCTGGCTGGAAGTAGAAAATCAGATGGTGGAAATGTGGAGACAAGCAGACCTCAGGGAGACGACACCCTTCTCAGCTTTCTGCTCCCAACCCCATCATCCTCCCACACCCTTAAACTGCGCAGCTGTGACAGGGACAGTTTCTAGTGGATGCCATGTATGGCTGTGCCCCCACTCCACAGGCAGGCAGGGAAGTATCCCTGGGTAACAAGTAGGGATGTAGAATGAGCCAAGGGGGTCCTGCCACACAGGGCTGGCACCCAGTCCGGCAGAGTCCCAGGGTGCTCTGTTAGCAGCTCCTTAAAGTGCCCCCACTCCAGGCAGACCTGTAGACCAAATCAGCTGCCGAGCTGAAAATTGGGCTTTCCAGAAGCTTCCCTACAGGCTTGGTTGGGGATTTCATTCTGCTCGGGGGAAGGTCCCTCAAGGGAAAGGGCTGGAGGCAAATCAGCTGCCGAGACCATGGTGGGGAAATGCGAAGTCATCCCCCAGACACCCCCAGTTCCCACTGGCTCAGCTCCCAGTGCCCACTGGACCTGCCTGGCTGGGTTGGCATCACCCCAGCATGAGGCTGACTCAGATGGACCATGCACACGGGAGCATCCATCCTTTGCCCATCAGTGTCACACCAGCAGCCCTGTGGGTGAGAACAAACCCACCTTCCCAGACGTCTTCCCTGCCTACCACTCTACATCCTCCCTAGTCCTTCCCTGTCCATGGCAGCTGCTGAAGCAGCCTGTAAATGAGATCCCACTGCTTCCCTCTTTCCCAGCAGCTACAGCAAACCAGCAGTTTAAACTGGGTGGAAGATGACCCCCCTTTCAGTTTTGACCCCCTCTGCTTCAGGAGGGGAACAGCCCCTCCAGAACCAAGCTGCCACCAGTCCTGGTTTAGGGGCCAAGCTGCAGGCAGCCAAGAGCTGGGTGTTGCCAGCGTGACCGGGACACGTCCATTCTCTTTGGGTGCCTTGGTCCAGTGTTGCTGTGCCCCCACATGCAGCCAAACCTGCACTGCTGGGCTGCAGGAGCAAGGATGCAAGTGAAGCAAGGAAAGGGTTAACTCATTCTTGCCCCAAAGAACCCTGAGATTTATTTCACTGCCAAGGGGAATGTGATTAAGAACAAAAAGTATAAAAATCATCATTAACTACAGCAGGCTGGAAGGCTTGGGGTGCTAGCAGCATGGACAGGGCGCTGTTGGCCCCCTGGGCTGGGACCCTCCAGGGAAAGGTGGTTTCTGGGCAGCCAAGCCAGGCTGGGGCAGGGGACAGTGGCTGGAGAGTGAGGAGGGCCCAGGGGACTGAGGGTCCTCAGTCCCCTTTGCCCAGTTTGTGCTGGGCACAAGCGCTGGGGAGGACCCCCCTGACCCAAACAGGCCTCACCAGCTGACCCACAGAGGGGTGAAGCTCTCCTGTGCCACAGCTCAAGGGGTGGCAGGGGCTCACCTCCACCCCTTGCCCCTGGCCTCAGCTCACCCTGGCTGCCCAGGAGGGTGGGCAGAGCCACCAGGGCCCCTCAGCCCTGGGCATGGTGTTCCAGCCCTGCTCTACATGACAGGGAGGAGGCACCTGGGAAACTAGATCACTACAAAAATTTTTGCTTTTTAAAAACTACAACCAAAAACCATTTCAAAAAATAATAAAACCACCCCCCTCCCCCCACCCCAAAATCTAAAAAATACTTTTTTTTGGGTCTTCCAGAAGAGCGGCTGGGGCTGTGCGCACATGGCTTCAGGGGATGCGGTGGGGCAGGAGCAGCTGCCCCTAGGAGAGGTCAGAGGGGGGGCCAATGCTGCTGGGACCAGTAAGATCACATAACTGGGAAGGGCTGGGAGCAACCGTGGACAGCGAGCGACAGGCTCCCAGCCCCTTGCACCCCAAAAAGCCCCACACAGCAGCCCAACGAGCGGAAGCAGGGCTTTGCCTGGGCCAGCCCGGGGCAAAGTGGGGGCTGCCAGACCACCTGCAGTGACCCCACAGCCCCCGGTTCAGTGGCCGCTGTTGCTCATGGAGAGCCCAGGCTGCAGCGCTTGTGGGAACATCTCAGCTTTGTGAAAGGTCGGCATGTAGATCGGAGGGGAGGATGCCAGGCTGTAGCCCTGCGACGTCACTGGGATGGGCAGGGTGGGCGGTACCAGCGGCTGGTTCATGTCGTACATCATCCCATCTGCCTCGTTGCCGTAGGGCAGCAGCAGCCGTTTGCCTTTCTGACGCCGGTTGCAGAACCAGACCCGGACCACCTGCAGGGAGGGAGACAGAGAGAAGGGTGAGGGGGTGACCCCAGGCACTCTGTGGGTGACAAGGAGACCCTTCTACTGGTGGGCACCTCCACAGCACCCCAAGTTGCCAGTGCAGCCCCCTCCCTGCCACACATCTCTTTCCTGGTCTGAGCCCTGATGGACTCCAGCCAGGAACACTTTTCCACTGCTTCCAGAGCTGAGAGATGAGAGAGGTTAAGCAGGAAAGAAGATAATGAATTGAAAGAAAGGTTTCTCTCCAAAGGCCAGTGGCATTATCAGATGAAGCCAATATGCATTTGTGACTGGAACTTGTTTATTGTTCATAGGTTGTGTTTTGTTGGTCTTCTCGTGCATTTCCACTTCCAATGAAGAAAAAAAGTTTTCACTTTCCATGTGGGTCCCTGGGGGCAAAAATCAGCTTCTTCAGAGGTGAATTAGTATCAAAGGATTACTTTTATATATTATGTGCATATACACAAACACAGATGGGTGTTGTGTTGGGTCTGGGAATTATTTTTGTGCCTGTAAAGTTTTAAATACTCCATCTGTGAAGGAAAGTCTCCTCTGGAGCAAAGTGGGGGTTTTTTCATACTGATGAGCTATACCTCATAACTGCTCGCTTCTGCTCTGAGACAAAGTATCAAACTGGCCTGATGCAGATGCTCAGGAGCTGCTGACATCTGGGCACCCACCCTTCCCACTCTCCCAACCTACGTCTTTGTCCAGGTTGAGGTCCTCAGCAATCTGGGATATCTCCTGGGGATTGGGCTTCACGCACTTGCGGAAGAAGCTCTCCAGCGTCCCCTTCACATTGGTCTCAATGCTGGTCCTGCGTTTTCTCTTCCGGGCTTGGGCCAGTACTTGCTCCGCATTGCACATCTGGGAACAAGAGAGGGAACATGTTGGTCACTGGATGGAAGAGTCTCCACCAGGCTCTGGGCACACGTGTGGCTGGCTGCAGAGCTCTGGGGACAGACTGTGTGTCCCTGTGACTCTCCACTGAGCATCACTCCACTGTGACTGGGGCCATTCCCAGTATCCCAGCCCTGCCAGCAGCTGGTGTGGGGAGGCTGGACACATCTTCCTGCTCCCCCACCAGGTTCCCCAGGGAGCAGTAAGCTGCACATTTAGCCTTTCTGAGGTTCCAGCAGGACCTGGCTGCTCCAAGATGGGAGCTGCCATAATCACTAGGTGTCTGGGGGGGGATTGGGCTCCCCTCAGCTTGGCAGAAAGCAGTACTCAGCGATATCCCCCCAAGCCGGACTGAAGCCATGCAGTGAGATGCTACTGTGGCACAAAATACCTCCTGTTTCCCTCTTCTCTCCCCAAAGGCATGTTGGAAATGGAGAAGAATCTGTGGCTTGAGGGCTTGCAGGCGTAGGGTACCCCAGCTCCCACCCTCCCTAGCCCGCACCTCTTGCATGTTGTCCGTGTTCTCCGCCTCGTTGAGCCAGCGCTGCAACAGCGGTTTCAGCTTGCACATGTTCTTGAAGCTGAGCTGGAGCGCTTCAAAGCGGCAGATGGTCGTCTGACTGAACATCTTTCCTGCATGGGCAGGGAGGGCAGGGCATCATGCACCGCGCAGCTGCCCCCATCTGCAGCCCCCCAGGATCTGCCACCCCCAAACCTCCCCTGTCCCTGGAAGACCAGGGAATGGATTCTTTCTTCTGCTTCAGCAGGGATTTAAAGCTCTGAAAAAGCAAC